TAACATACCAATAAACTAGTTGAACTTGTATTATATAGTATCATATAAAATAAAATCTTAATAATTTTAATTTATTATGTTCAATTTGAAAAGAATAAATTAATGTAAAACTTTTTGTTATAATTTATATTGTCTTTAACGTAGACCATTATTTTGTTCTTCATAATTCTTAATATCTTAAATAAAAAAAATTGCATTCATTATGTATAAAATAACAGATTGCCTTTACAACAAAAATATTTTTAATTGCAGTTTCACCTCTTGAAATTGAAATGAAGTAATACAATTTATTCGTTCTTTTATCATAATTACATTGACATTGTATCCAAGTTCACGTTACAAAACATAAAATGTACTGTTACGGCTCCCGTCTTATTCGTATATGAAATAATAATTAAACTGCCATCTTTAAATATTATTTTGGAGGGAGTTTCAAATTACGATAACTTCACATGTAATTACTTTATTTTGTTTATTATAAAATCAATAATATTCAAAGCTATGCGATAAAGCGCTATGTAGAAATAAAATACAAATATTAATATTAGCAACGAACGATTGAGAATCGTCGCATTTGTGGTTCAGAGCTCTTTCCGAATAAACGTACTGATTTTGATTTTGTTTATATTAAAATCCACTAGAACCTCACGCAACAGTAATAGATACGAATACAATAGTATTTACGTAATCAAAAAATATACAATTGTCATTGCAATAAAATAGTTTAAGTGTATACTTAACATTTTTTTCTGTGCAAACACCATTGTAATAATATTATTATTTTTATTGTTATAATAAATATTATTGCTATACAAAAATATGGATACAAAAAAAGGCACTGTTTCTAGTAACTTGTCACCAGAGAAGCTGATGGCACTATATATGTATGCATTGCTTCGTGAAAGTTTTAATATCCTAATTTCTATTTTGATAAATATTAAGTTCATTACTTACAATTACAATTTTATTTATGAGTAGTAAAACATTAATATTTATGACAAATTGGTAATGAAAACATTACATATCAAATAGTTCGTTTGAATTCTGATTCGATACATTTCGATATTTGGAACGAGTGCATTATTGCATGAGTGGTCGGATGTCGGATCGGATCTAAACATATCTAAGCAAGATGGATAGGTGCTAATCTTCAGTAAAAGCATTCTACTGTCAATTTTTAAAGAATTTTGTGAGTTATACTCTAATTCGTATCAAAATTCGTTGGTGTTAAGTAAAAAATAAGAAAATGTTGACCGCTGCTGCAAATTCAATATCAAATAACGGAGGATCTTACAGTAATGACAGATCGTCAAGTACTGCGGATCCAGAACTCGCAACTGATCCCGCTTCTGGAGGATTTTTTCACTCTGATTATAAAAAGTAAATATCTAATTCGACATTTATATTGTTCTAACCACCAATATTTTATCTGTAAAAGGTATTTCTATAGAGATCTGATGCTTTTTTTTTTAACATGACACAGTACTTCAATATTTTGAAATAAGTACAAATGTTATGAAGAAAATACTTGTATTTTTGTGACTTTATTTCACTGCTATTAAACACCTTGTATATAGCATTATGTAATTTTACTCAGTAAAATTGTTATGTATCACAATAAAATATGTTGACGCACTGTACGTAGCTATGTACTTTCAAACTATATTTTTTAAATTAGGCACGATGATTTGAAACAAATGTTGGATAGTAGTAAAGATGGACTTAAGCTGGAAGCTATGAAGCGTATAATTGGGGTAATAAACCTTTTGTATTAAATTGATCTCGTTTGAGAACAATAAATAAAATAGGATATTTCTTACAGATGATAGCAAAAGGAAGAGATGCATCAGAATTATTTCCTGCTGTAGTAAAAAATGTTGTATCAAAAAACATTGAAGTCAAGAAATTAGTTTATGTGTACTTAGTCCGTTATGCAGAAGATCAGCAAGATCTTGCACTGTTATCTATTTCTACATTCCAGCGAGCTTTGAAAGATCCTAACCAATTAATAAGAGCCAGTGCATTAAGGGTACTTTCAAGCATACGTGTATCTATGATTGTTCCTATTGTAATGCTTGCTATTAAAGATTCGGCTAGTGATATGTCGCCATATGTCCGTAAAACTGCAGCACATGCTATTCCTAAACTTTATTCACTGGACTCTGAACAGAAAGAAGAACTCATAAGTGTTTTAGAGAAGTTACTTTCTGATAAAACTACTTTAGTTGTGGGTTCGGCAGTGATGGCTTTTGAAGAGGTTTGTCCAGAGAGAATTGATTTGATACATAAGAATTACAGAAAACTTTGTAATTTATTAGTAGATGTCGATGAGTGGGGCCAAGTTATTATAGTCAACATGCTCACAAGATACGCAAGAACACAGTTTATTGATCCAAACATAGATGTGTGTATAATTTTTTTGAAATTACAGGAATTAAAATATATACGTGATTTATATTTTTTGATAATAATTTTTATAGAACGTAGAAGAAGATGAAAACCGCCCATTTTATGATTCTGATTCTGATTCGTCGAACACTAAAAAGCCAAAATTATCATTAGATCCTGATCATCGATTATTATTAAGAAACACGAAACCTCTTTTACAAAGTAGAAATGCTTCTGTGGTAATGGCAGTGTCTCAATTATACCATCATACAGCACCACGAAGTGAAGTCATAACTGCTGCTAAAGCACTGATACGATTACTAAGAGGGCATAGAGAAGTTCAGAGTGTAGTTCTTCACTGCATAGCTAGCATATCAATTACCAGAAAGGTAATGTAAGTACTAATATAATGTACTAAATAAAAATCTTATTTTTTCTAAAGTGAGAAATTTCTACACAGCATAATATTTAATGTTTTTGTGTAGGGAATGTTTGAACCATTTCTTAAGTCATTCTTTGTAAGAACTTCAGATCCTACACATATAAAGCTTTTGAAGTTAGACATCCTGACTAACTTGACAACTGAAACTAGTATTGGAGTTATACTGAGGGAATTTCAAACTTACATCTCTAGTAGCGATAAAGAATTCGTCGGAGCTAGTATACAAGCAATTGGTAGATGTGCAAGTAATATAAAAGAAGTGACTGACATCTGTTTAAATGGGCTTGTTTCACTATTAAGTAACAGGGATGGTAAATATAAATTTAATATACACTGTTTATAATTTATAGTATTTATTCATTATTTTATGTTTCTCATATCTTTTTTATTCAGAGGCTATCGTAGCAGAAAGCGTTGTTGTTATAAAGAAACTTTTACAAACTCAACCAAATGAACATAAAAATATAATAGCTCATATGGCCAAGTTAATGGATTTCATTACTATACCACAAGCTAGGGCATCGATATTGTGGCTCTTGGGAGAATATTCGGACAGAGTACCAAAAATTGCACCTGACGTTCTTAGAAAAATGGCTAAGAATTTTGTAAACGAGCAAGATATTGTAAAATTACAGATACTAAACTTAGCTGTAAAATTATGTCTGAATAATCCTACGCAGACCAAACCATTTTGTCAGTACGTTTTCCAGCTTGCAAAATATGATCAAAATTATGACATCAGAGATCGCGCACGTTTTTTAAAACGTTTTATTCTTGACGAAGATGATCCAGGAAAGAAACTTCCACAACTTGCTAAAAGAATATTTTTAGCTCCAAAACCAGCGCCAACTCTAACATCCAGGTTCAAAGACTCTGAATTTCAATTGGGCACATTGTCACATTATCTGGATATGCCGTGTGCTGGTTACCGTCCATTACCACCTTTCCCTGATGTAGCTCCAGAACCATCCGTAAGGGATGTTCTCGGACTTATTCTTGGTGGTGATATGAGAGACGTAATGGAAGAATATTATGGAAAAGATAAGAAGGACAAGAAGGGAAAAGAAAAAGAAAAACCCTTTTATAGTGACGAAGACAGTATTACAGGAGATGGTAAATTATAATTAATATTCTAATTAATATTGAATATTGTATTGAAATTTTAAATATGAAATTCATATAATTTCAGCTTTAGCCAACGAAAATGAATCTTCGGATACCTCGTCAAGTGATTCTTCAGATGATGATAGTGATTCGTCTGAATATACATCCAGCTCCAATAAATCAGAAAATGATGGCGAGAAAAAGAAATCAAATAAAGGGTCAGATGAGTCAAATAGCGAGTCTGAAAGTGAAGAATCAAATTCAGAAGAATCATCTGAAGAATCTGAAGAGGAGAGTGAAGCAGAGAAACATAAAGCTTCTAAGCAAGATACAAAAGAAAAACCGAAAAGTAACATCGATCTTCTTCTGGACTTAGACGATGGTACGATACAATAGTAAAAATAATGAAAACAAACATTTAGATAAAAATTTGTGAACTTATGTAATATATTTGATTGTAGTTATTCCCATGACACCTGTGATGCCATTAAGTACTGGAAGTCTTCTTACTCCAATGAATTCAAACATTTCTAATGATGTGAGAGAAGTGACATTATCGTTTATTCCAACAAAAAAGTCTGAATTGTTAAATAGTATTACAGGTCATGGTTTAAAAATTGAGTATAGGTTTACAAGATCACAGCATTTAGTAAGCGCTCATTTAGTTAGTATTGAATTAATATTTTCTAATGATGGTGGCAGTCCTATCAAAGAGATTCATATGGGAACAAAGGTAAATATTTACCATATTAAAAATTTGATTTATATTTACTATATTTGAGTTATATTTATTTTTAGAATGTACCAAAAGGTATGCTTTTACATGACTTTACACGAATATCACTGTTGGAAACAAACTCAAATTTATCCTCTACATTGGGTATCAATTTTAACGACTCCACTCAACCTGCAAATTTTAATATTGACTTTACAATTGCTGAAGAAACGTATTCGTGGCCAGTAACTATTAAAGCACCAATTGGAGAAATCATACGGGCAGTACTTATACCTGATGACATGTTTGTTACTGAAAAAGCAAAACTAAAAGGTATGAATGAACATACAACAAAAGTGCAATATACAGGAAATAAAAAAAATATTCCTCAAATGATTTATGAAGTAGCAAATGTTGCAATGATATCCAATACCGATGAAGAGATGAGGTTGGTAAAGATTTACTATTTATATGAAATACATAATTATATTATTATAATTCTTAATTTTATTTGTAGATTTACCGCTCACACCGTAGCCTCGAAATCATTGGTGTTAGTGACAATAAAAATGATCGGGAATGAATCTTTGGAAATATGTGTAAATTGTGAGAAATTAATCATAGGTTCTATCTCGTTAAACGAATTAAAAGGCAATTTAAAATAAATGAAATATTTTATACTTACGATCATAAATAAATAAATAAATATATATATATATATAATAAATATATTTACACTTGTATAAAACAAATACAAAACTTTTATGTTAACTAAACATATATATTTACATACACATTCAATATCAGAAATGTATGTTTACTATCAAATATTAAAAATCAACTATAATATGTTTGTTATAATGTTATTAAAGTTTTTACAATAAATTGAAGTTATTATTTAATTAAAAAAAGGAGCCAGCCTATTAAGTTTATGTGTATATTGTATGTTTAATACCGAATAATCTTAATTCATTCACAAAATAACAAGATATGAACAATTAAATTTGTTGAATTATCGAAAATTATCGAAACCAGTCGACGCATGTATCGATTTAGAATCGTAGCTGCAGAGTATGCCCTCTAGGTGGAAACACTGTGAAGACTCTTTCGGCCGCACGGTTTACGGTAAGGAGGAATGACAATATCAACAGGCCTAATAATATCGAAGTAATCTTCTGTTTCAATAAGAGGAAAACTATATATTTTCATAAATATTACATATTTCATGAACATTCTTTAAGAAGAATATAATATTTTTGTCTTAATGTTACAACACCATTAATTTTAACAAGCTAATATTATGGAAGGCTACAGTTTGACATTTCAACGTTCTCGTTAATAAATTGTCGATATTTGTTTATAATTCTAAATTTTCACGATACTTTTCTTCATTCTATATAGATTTTATAACAGTTTCTTCTTTATACTTTGTGTTTAGTTTTGTGAAAACGTGACATAACCTATATGAAACATGGTAAACATGTTTAATAGGAAATTACAGTAATGGGAGACGTATAGTCGTGTATATTTTCTCACTTGCTTTATTAATAATTCATATTATCTTTGTAGATGACCAAGGTAAAGGAAGATAAGGGCACAGAAGCAGCGTCCCAGGAGAAGAAAGCTCCTTCGGGCAAAAAGAGTGGAAAGAAGGGTCGTATCAGGCCAAGGAATTACGACTTAGGAAATGGTGTCTATAGATTCAGTCGTACTCGCATGTTTCATAAGAAAGCCATCTATAAATTCTTAGACAAGAAGACTCCGAAAACTGTATGTTTTGTAACAGCACATCTCTTATTCGATGTTTTCATTTATAGACATATACTCACACAAATGATTAAAAACACAGGTTAAGCCCAAGAAGCCAGTAATTGTTGAGAAAGCAATTAGCGGTGACAAGAATGGAGAAAAGCGTATTGTATTATTGAAGAAAAGACGTGCAAACTATCCAACTGCAGATCCAGTGACTGTACATCATTCTAAAAAATGTTTCCGTGATCACCAACGTTATCTAAGGCCATCTTTGAAACCCGGAACAGTCTGCATCTTGCTTGCTGGTGCTCATAAAGGAAAACGAGTTATTTTCTTGAAGCAGCTTAAAAGTGGCTTACTCCTGGTTACTGGTGAGCATAATATATAATATTAAATTTAAATATAAATTATGATATAGTATTAAATTATACATTTTGTGTAACAGGCCCATTCCTGATTAATGGTTGCCCCTTGAGAAGAGTTAGCCAGAACTACGTGATTGCCACATCTACCTGTATCAATATTTCGGGTTTGAAGCTTCCAGGAAGCATTAATGATGATTACTTTAAGAGGAAACGTGAGAAACGTGCAAAGAAGGAAGAAGGTGATATTTTCACCAAGAAAAAGGATAAATATAAAGCAAGCGAAGAGAGGAAAAATGACCAGAAAGTAGTTGATAAATTTGTTATTTCTGCCATCAAGAGAAACAAAGATAAGAAACTGTTGTTTACTTATTTGTCTGCTATGTTTGGCTTGAGAAGCAGTCAGTATCCACACAGGCTAAAGTTCTAATCTTTTATGATTTGAATACAAATACACAATAACTACTGAAAAAATATATATATTCAGTATACTTATTACTTACTCCCTTACCTTACCGAATGTATTAATTACCTATCATTTTGTTAATCACATATAAAAATTGACTTAATATCTTATCGGCTTGCGTGATATATAAAAAATGAGGGGGGTTTGCGGTGCAATTTAATATTCCTCTGTCGTTTTATTAAAAAGTTTCTATTTAAAAAATCAAACATATGTGTTTGATATTTAGAATACGCAGTTGTTAAGTACTTCTTTCAATAGAAAATATATGTACAAATATATATCAGATACCAAAATTAAAGTAGATATCAATGTATATAGTTTATACAAAATATCTCCATTTTGTATATATATATATATATAATTATAATAATATTGGAACGTCCTGTATGTCAGAGCTCTCCTGTGTGTCTCCAGTGCCAGCATTGGTGTTTAGTGTGTCCAATGATGTCAGGGATTCTGCTCGGAATCTGTTCCAAGTAACGGAGAGGACTTCATAAATGGGATTGGACGATTCCATTGGATTGCCAAGGGAAATCTATTGGCATCATCCAACCCCATTTACGGTGGGTAATTCTCTCACTTATACTTTTCTAAAAGAAAATCGTAAAACTGTCAGGATGCTGGGAGGCCTGGTCTGGAGCTCTCGACTCTGTATATACCTGTAGAATGCAGTGAATGTGTGGATGCGCGCTAGCATTTACAAATTACAATATTAGACTTTTGTGATTATAATTTAAAATTCTGTTGCAATGTCGAAAGCTAAAATCTCCGCAGAATGGAGGAAACGCGTAAAGTCCGAGTATATGCGTTTACGGCAAATGAAACGCTATAAAAGGGCAGATGAGGTAAAGATAGCTTGGAATCAAAACCGCAAGGTTATGTCTGGTAAGTATGTTTTGCCATAATTATATTTCATTTAATTTTGTTTATGAAATATGAGGATAAACTAATTCGTCTTCCTTAACATTTATTTATGGCTTTACTACATTGCACTGATAGAAAATTGGTTACAAACAGTCATAAAGTCAACATAATATTATCCTGCTTCGCAGGATATACTATGACAGTGAACATTATTCAAGTTAAAGTGGAAAATTCTTATTTTTGCTGTTAATTAAGGGGGATATTCTTCTTTGGATATTGTATTGTATTTAAGTGATTTTTGGGAATGAAAATTAGATTTTATAGACCAAGGAACTTAATGTTTCATATATATATGTCCGAATACTTTTCATGAGGATACAATGTAGTTTTTGTTTCAATAAGGCATGAATAAATAAATAAGGCTATGAATCAATTGATAAGCATTTAACGACCAAATCGTATCATTAGAACTATTAACAACAGAAGAGAAACGATGGACCGATGGAAAAGCAATGTGGCTAGCAATGCAAGACATTCCTCCTTATGTTTCCTGTATGAAGAAGGCGGAAGTTACAAGTTCTGATGGAGATGTGCAAACTTGTCCTGTTAAAATCATTAATGCTGTAACTCCTATACCAACTATGTATACGTGGGCACCTATACAACAGAACTTCATGGTAGAAGATGAAACAGTTTTGCATAACATACCATATATGGGAGATGAAATTTTAGACCAAGATGGCACATTTATCGAAGAATTAATAAAAAATTATGATGGAAAGGTATGCGATTAGATCGTACTTTATTAAGTAGTCCTTTTATGTTTTAACAATGGAAGGATAAAGTATCGTGTTACTGTAGGTTCACGGAGACAGAGAATCTGGTTTTATGGATGATTCCACATTTGTTGATTTGGTAAATGCTTTGGCACAATATGAAAAAGAAGATAAAGAGAGAGAACAAACGAAAAAAGGAAAGGATAAGGAAGATGATAAAGAAAAGAAGGACGGTGGGAATATTAAAAACGAGGTCAAGTCTGAGAAATTAGAAGACGTTAAAACAGAAGGGAATCCATTTCCGTCGATGCACATTTTCAATGTATGTAGAATAATTGAATGAAACTAACGAATGGTTGGTTTCGTGTACAAATGAGCTTCCTTTCTTGTATTGGTTTCAGGCAATATCCAGCATGTTTCCTGACAAAGGAAGACCAGAAGAGTTAAAGGAAAAATACATAGAGTTGACGGAAAGATCGGATCCAAATGTTCTACCACCAGAGTGTACACCAAATATCGATGGTGTGAACGCAAAGAGTGTACCTCGGGAACAAACGATGCATTCTTTTCATACTTTGTTTTGTAGAAGATGTTTTAAATACGACTGTTTTCTACACCGTGAGTACAATAATGACAATAGACTGTATCGATTCTTTCCAAATTTGATAGCTTAATTTATTTACAAGAACTGTATTAAGGTGCGGTGTAAACCGTGATACATGTAGAATCCGAATATAAAATCAAACATTTATTTGTTTCAATAATTTATGATTCTTGATTTATCATAGCAGCCAGGGGAACTTCGCCGCAAGGTAAAGAAAAGTCATACAAGAGACCATGTTCGATCGAATGCTTTTTTTTTTTGTGTTGTTTAGCACGAAGACACCGTCAAGGATTCATCCGCAATTGTGTGCATTCGTCGCTCATTGTTGTGTCTACAAAGTTCTTGTGTTCATGCATTCATTTTTGAATTTCACCCCACCAAGCTTGTGTCGTTACTTGCAGGTCTTCAAGTCTGTCATCCCGGCCCGAATCTGCAGAAACGAAAAGGGCCCGACCTAAAACCGTTCTCTGAACCGTGTGGGACAGAATGTTATATGCACTTGGTAAAAAGTGAAGGAATAAAGTACACAATCGAAACATTGGCCTGCAAGTAATTCTTCTTTCCTTCGCTAGGAGGGAATGAAGGAAAAACTTGCGGCTCAAGCGGCTGACATCAAAGATGAGGAAAGCGACGAGAAACGCGGAGCTCCTAGAAAAGTACGGAAACAAGCAAGTGTTGATTCAGGAAATGAAGCTAGCAGTGAAGATAGCAATGATAGCAATAAGTATAGTCAAGGAGGTGGTTGTCAAGGTGAGATTATATTCAACACATATTATGTATTGTAACAACTAATAGAAAAATAATATATTTCACAAAGAAGTGTCGAAATTGTTGATATTAATTATTGTCTTATGTTGTTTATTAGATTTTAAACAAAACGTGAATAAAGAAACAAAACCGGAGGAGTCTGTGGAAGATCAGACCCAACCAGAGAATCAGGTGCCGTTTACATTGCTTGGTCTTAATAAACGTATTAAAACGGAAAATGAGCTTTCGTGGACCGGCTCCGAACAGAGTTTATTTCGAGCCCTGCATAAGGCTTTTCCTGGTAATCCATGCGCATTAGCGCAGATAATGTTGACGAAAACTTGTCAAGAGGTGTATAGATTTGCGCAGAAGGAGGCCTCCGACATTCCAGCAATCGAGAACTTGAAAGATTTTACACCTCCGCGCAAGAAGAAGAAGAAGCATCGGCTTTGGTCGATGCATTGCAGAAAAATACAATTGAAAAAAGATTCTGGTAAACACTGAAACTACGCAGATTTCGAATAAGTAATTATTCCACTTTAGCTTGGATCTTATTTAATAATAATGTGAACATATTGTCCCCCATAAAAGGTGCCAATCACGTGCATAATTTCGCACCATGCGACCATCCAGGAAGACAATGCGACAATTCTTGTCCGTGTATACAAGCTCAGAACTTTTGTGAAAAATTCTGTCAGTGTAGCAGCGAATGCCAAAACCGGTTTCCAGGATGTAGGTGCAAAGCTCAGTGTAATACCAAGCAATGCCCTTGTTATCTAGCCGTAAGGGAATGCGACCCGGATCTCTGTCAAACTTGCGGCGCGGATCAGTTTCATATTACCAAGATATCTTGTAAGAACGTCAGTGTCCAACGAGGTCTTCGTACGTAACAAATTTTTCTAATCAGAGATTAATCAGGTCTCTCCCGTAGCAACAAGTTTGAATAACCGACAAAATCATTTGTAGATAAGCATCTTTTGATGGCGCCCTCCGACGTCGCTGGTTGGGGAATATTTCTTAAAGAATCTGCGGCCAAGAATGAGTTTATTTCCGAATATTGCGGAGAGATAATCAGTCAAGATGAAGCCGACAGAAGGGGCAAAGTGTATGACAAATACATGTGTAGTTTTCTCTTCAATCTGAATAACGGTGAGAAGAATTACAATAAGCGTATAAACTTCTTATTCGTATTATAACGTATCAAGCTTTGTATCCCTTATTCGCAGATTTTGTTGTGGACGCAACAAGGAAGGGAAATAAAATACGATTCGCCAATCATTCGATAAATCCAAATTGTTACGCGAAAGTGATGATGGTGAACGGCGATCATAGAATAGGTATATTCGCCAAGCGAGCTATTCAACCTGGCGAGGAGCTGTTTTTCGATTACAGGTAAAGTTTAACCAACGTTGTCACATATTATTGCCATCTCGGAATGTGTTTTATGCTACGATTTTCTACGTTCCCTTACAGATATGGACCAACAGAACAATTGAAGTTCGTCGGCATCGAACGGGAAATGGAATTTCTGTAATTTTTTATACGCGCGACGTTGTAAAAAGATTGTTACTGTTTGAGAAAGAAAACAAGAAACTGAACAGAATTTCCACGACGGGTACCTGATGCCACGAATTCATTGGATAAGCTTTTACGTTCCACGATACTCAAGATCGAAACAATACCGGACAAAAACACTGTTTTGCTTCAACGATACCGATCAATAAACTATATTTTAAAACGTGTCTAAAGATCCATTGTTATTTCGATTCCAGAATAGAACGCGAGAAAGGGGCACCGTGGTGCTCGTGCCAATGAGAAACAAACCGAATCGTCTTGTTTAAGCAAATTCGCTGCGGGAATCGCGTCGGATAGGAACGCGACTGGTCCGTAGAATGTAGTAATGCTAACGAATGAAAGAAAAATAAGCAGAGTGACTAATACGCTAAGGAGCGTGCACGGTTTTGTATAGTTTGTACGAGGATGAAACTAGCTAGCGGGGAAGTTACACGGAATGGATTATAGGAAAGCTTTCCGATAAACTTGGCTCGTAATTCGGCCACCAGTTGCAAGTTTCTCAGCCGCAAAAACGGTTCGGATGCACGTTTCCCCGGATAGCGAAGCTTCTCGTTGACCAGACTCGCGTGTCGTAACCAGTGTTTCCGGATACGGTATCGAGAAAACAGAATCACGGACTGTACGGTGAATCGTGCGAGCATCGCCAGAAAGGATATCCAGCATCCATCGAGCGAAACCGACGGCCTTCTCTCCGAAGAAGGATCCGGACACGTGAACTTTCGTAGAAGGTGTTTAGATGAGTCGCGACAACACGCGCAGCATTTGATTCGCGTTTACGTTCGAAAATCTAATCGCGCCAATTTGCCCCGATCCGCGGGTGTAGGCGGCAGGCATCGTTCGAGATAATCCCATTGTCATAATGCGAGGAACGACGCGAAGGTTCGATTGATTCGTTCGATCGCGGGAAAAAAATATCCACGGGACCGGACCGAAGAGACGATGGAGAAGAGGACGGAGGAAAATGTTGTCGGCAGTACGGCGAAGGAAGGTAAAAATCGGGTGGTGGACGAACAAGAGAAGTCGGGAAGAACGCTGATACATACCTATCGAACAATTGGAAACAATGACAATTGTTGCTAGAATATGTATGATCCGAGTTGTCGCGCGGCTGAACTTGAACCGGAATTAATGGCAATTAAGGCTGACCCGTACGCAAATACGATGATCTTTCTGGCTCGCGATGGCTGCGAACGCGGAATCGAAATTACGGGCTCTACCGGCCCGACGTCACGGACACCAACGGACGGCGGAAATAATATTTATGCGTGACTAATTGCAAGGCGGTGCGCGGTGCAGAAGCAAAGGGATATGAAAATCTGACGGCATAGATCGAAAATAATTCTTGGTGGTGGGCCAACTGCCGAAATTAAGGGAGCGCCCGGAGAATCGGTGGCCGCGGTCGCGGTCGCGGTCGTGGAAACACATTGCCCCGTTCCCGCTGAGTATGCTTCCTCGTAAACTACTGGCTGCTCGTGTCCTTTTTTGGTCGCATTTCGAGTGTCCCTACCCTCGGCACTTGTTTCTCTCGCAGCCGCATATCCGGAGTTCCTCGACTCGGCTAAACTTTCATCAGCAGCATTCTCTTTTGGCGACGGCCTTCGGTAGCAAGGTCGTCCACCTTGCTATTTGTGACTAGAAAATGTAGCAAACGATGGTCGTTCGTCCTCGGATTATTGTCGCGTTAATTAATTCGTTCGTCTTTGCGCGAAATTCCGATGCCGCGAGCGTATCAAAAGCGCGCGGACGCTGGTAGCGATTTTTTGTTTGTTAGCGACACCGTGTTGTTAGAAGCGCGCAAGTTAAGGCATACTTTCGTCGGCAGAGAATAGCCGATCCGAGAGAGTTTATTTCGTTTTACAATGCGAGGCGGCAAGGGATCATGTTTCTGAACGACTCATTTATATTTGCAACAGCTCCATGTCACTCGAGAGCTTTTCCTGCCTCGTTCGAATGAAACGCGGCGGCAGCTTCGTTGGGAATTTTTGCTGCCTCCGTTCGGTTTGCAATTTCATTTTACTCGAACCGCATCCTGCTGTTAATGAGGGAATACGATCTGCTTAGCGTTGTTTCTATTACCGCCGCCGCGACACCGCTGCCGCTATTCTAACACGCATTGATCGACGCTCCTGTGCGACACTCCCTTTTTTTCCCTAAACGGGATGAGTACTTGTTATCAACGATGCTGATCTAGAAATGAAAATAAAACTCAATCGAGCAAGCTCCGTTTGTCCCCGCTATGAATTTTTTATACGGTTTTTTGATCAAGGAGCCGTAGTGACTCGGATGCGGTCAAGGATCAGCTCCAACCGAGCCTTGAGATAAGGGAAGTCCTGAATTTCTACATTCGCGTTGAACATATTTATGTTTTCGATCGCAAACTGTACGCCCATTTGTTATTGAGACAATAATGCTGTTTTATTATTTATTTATTATTATTTATTTACTATTTATTATTTATTATTTACTATTTATTATTTATTATTTACTATTTACTATTTATTATTTATTATTTATTATTTATTATTTCGTTGCATTATTTATTCGTGTTCAGTTTACGAATTTCTTCCTTGAATTACACAAGTTTCTGTGGACTCTTTTACTTTGTTTTTCTATCAGCGCTAAGAAAAAATCACTTTCAGATATCGAAAACACGTGGTTGTTCTTCACTGTATATAGATACAGGGTGTCCCGCATTTTTTCCGTACACACTTCGAGAGTAAAAATAAGACTAAAACGTTATTGTATAATAGAAAGTCCGTAAATGCTTTGTTAAGAAGTTATGTGAAAAATGAAAAATGTGATACGTATGATAAGGAGCCGAGTTAATTAGAAAAATCAACATCGCCTGCGAAGAGATTAGATAAAAACACAAGCAACGAAAATCAACAATAAATTCAATAAGTCGTCGATGCCAAATTTGTGTCAACAAAGGGGAGCGTCACTTTGAAATGGACGCGACAAGAAGGCACTTTTGTTCCCTCCTACTGGCTACCCCCACTGCCGCAGCTGTCGGTTGCTGTTGGCCGAAAACGGTGACGAAGATCGACGGCGATAAGAGGGGGAATGTAAAACAAAAAGGTGCCGTCTTGTCGCGTGAGGACTGTAGGTATATTTAGCAGCGTTTCAATCATATTTTGTGATTTTGTCACAAATTCTTAACAAAGCATTTATGGACATTTTAGTCTTATCTTCACTTGTAGAACACACTCCTGAAATGTGTACGGAAAAACGCGGAACACCCCCTATACGAATTGCGCATTTGTAAAATAAATCCTTCAAACGAGCCGTTTATCTTAAAAGTGGCATAAGTCATTTTGTTTTTAAGTCGAGATATTTAAGGGTTTGCGTTTTAACACGTTTCAAAATATGGATGCTAGCTTTCCAGAAGATTTACTTGTATTCGTTATCTCGGGATACCGATATTTTTCTCGGTATAAATAATTTCGTATAAACATTAAAAAAATCACCACTTTTCATCACGGTAAAGTGACTTAAGCCACTTTCAAAATAAACGGCTCAAATATTCGTAATATTGCTTTCTCGATTTCATTGTTTATCGAGACTAATTACGACCGTGGCGGATGAATAGACTTTGAATGTTGCGCGTTTAAGCCCGCAGTGGGATTTACTCAATTTTCTAGACCAGAGTCTCCCTTTAAAAAGAAATATGGTTGAACACGCTATTCTTTCGGTGGTCGATATTGGTTTTTAGAGAGATCGGAGGAGTCCGCTGGGAATGAAATGGATGTCGAGGAATTGGAACAGCTTCGGGACAAGTACGAAGGGAAGTTGACGGCGTCTCTTTACACCGGCACTCTGCTTGTCGCGCTAATCGGCTCGATTTTAGCCGTGGGAGTTATTTGTGCAGCAAACCATCGGGTAAATTCATCTCGTTTCAATTGTTCTTAACACTTTGCACTCCGCTGTCCCCTCCCGTGGAACATTCAAGTTTATTAGCGATTACGGGGAATTCAGTTATTTCAGAGCAACTTTTTAAGACATGCATGTTTTCCTGAAGTTTTCCCTTGAAATGGCACAAGAAATCAAATCAAAATATAGTAAAATTACTAAGATATATACAAGAAATGTCAGCGGGTTTTGACGAGAACGTGAGAGGCGTGCTCACGACGGTCCGAGCACTTCAAAGACGCCACTTGAAAAGAGCGATAAGGCAAGTTTGTAGAAGAAAGATCGGTATGCGAACATAGCACGCACTGTATAGTGAGATTTATAATCATAAAATCTGGAGGAAAAGATTTTCAAAGCTGAACTCGGTCTGGTTCGAAGCGTCGAGCGGTATAGATAGATCTAACGAGTGAGAAAATCGGAAAAGTGATTCTTCTCTTGGTAAATAAATTGTTTGGTAAAAGTTTTTTTTGGTAAATATCATCTTGCGAGTTAGTAATAACAATTAGAAATTTTCAACCTATGTGTTTATTCGTATTTTTTATTAGAACAACGGCAAAACGTTCAAACACGAATGAGTCTCATGACACAAGTAGCAGCGAAGATGAGCTCCGGATAGACGTTTATACAGATATGTTAGAAATATTACACAGAAATGTTACTACAGATATGTAGAAGATTTCCTTCTACAGTTAGTCCATCGGTTTGATAGCAGCGATAGTGATATCGTCCAAGCAACAAGGCGACGGGAGAAAGAGTTCGCATAGATAGCGATTACAACAACGAAACAAAGTTATAAAACAAACGATAACAAAATTATAAAAAATAAAATATTGATTTCTTTGCAAATTTCTCGGTTTCAGCCAAATTCGTATAAGTCCAATATCGTTATAATATGTTAGTTAGTTCCAAAAGCATACTAAATAATACGAGGCTCTGTAAATTCCCGTTTCTGCCGAAAAGTAGTGCCGAATAGCTGCTAGCCAACGTTCAGAATGCTGCGGAGTGCTAAGGGTTAAATATTGCTTTCTTCATGAATGTGCGAGCAATTTAATTGTGCGCGCGTGTAACGACACGAAAACGGAACGAGCATCGAGGTTCAACAATGAGAGATGATCTAGATCGCTTTCCCTTAAAAGCTTCAATTGCAAAAGTCAATTACTCGGCGGAGGGTAGAACCTTAAGCAAAAGGTAGTTTCTGTTTGCAGGATCTATACAAAGCGGTCGTTCCTGTAACGAGCTTAACGATAATGATCTTCTTCTCGTTGAGTTTGTTGTTGCTGACACAGCTGCCTTCCACGTTAACGTCGGCCAGAACTAGATCTCTCATAGGCTTCGCAGCTTCCGTGATTCTTGGGATCGGAATTTTGAGCCTGGAAAGCTCCGTGGCCCTGTTTATCATGATACTCGCGATGGTGGCTGTCGTGCCGAGAGGATCTCACCAAATACCAACCATCATCGCAGTCATTTTCATCGTAGTTCACGTGGCCGTGAATGTCTTGTTCTACGATTATTCGAGCCTCTCGAACGTAGCCGAGGTACACCTATCTTCTCTCTGTTTATCCTATTTATCTTCCTTCTGGTTGCGTTCGTGTCGGAATAATTTGTTTATTGCTCGCTTGGTCGTTTAGCCGTGCGGGAATATCGTATTCCTGACTGCCGCCGTTCTAGCGGGTTCCTATTACAGTATATTAACCGCGAAAGCTCATAGTAGAACGTTCTCCGGGACTAAAACGGTTATCGAATCACGAATCAAGCTGGAATGCGAAAGGGAACAACAGGAACAGCTATTACTGAGCGTTATTCCTGCTTACATCGCAGCTGAGGTGAGTCCTTTCAATCTTCGGGAATGCTGGGGCTTAACGGATGAATGCAGTGGCTTGACAGATTATTTGAACGATAAAGCTTCGATCGAAAAAAACTTTGTGATCGATACACATTTTTAAACAGAAATGCGAAAATACGGTATACAGTTTTTTCTTTTTTTTTTGGTACGGTACACAGTTTTTAACCTTTTAGGCACGACGCGCCACTATAGTGACTTGCTCTAGTAGCTCACTCGCTCATCGTTCGAACCAAATAATCGTCTTCATACGCGTTGTTTCACGCTTCTTTTGTCTTCGCATCGATTTACAACAGTCTACAGGGTGTCCGAAAAATGTCTCGCAATCCGGAAATGGCGGGTTCCTCGGATCATTCGAAGCAACTTCTTCCTTTAAAAAAATGTTCTCCGAGGCACCGTTAACGAGTTATCGACGAAAAACAGCGACCAATAAGAATCGAGTACGGCTGACGCGAGGCGGCCCAGCCAACAAGCGCGCGAAGCCCGGTTCCGCTCATTGGCTCGATCGCCTCGCGCCAGCCGAGCTCGTCTCTCATTGGTCACCGTTTTTCGTTAATAACTCGTTAACGGTGCCTCGGAGAAAATTTTTGTAAAGGAAAAAGTTGCTTCGAA